CACAAAGGAATTTACTCCAGAATGCGATTAATAAGGCCCAAATTGCTTAGAAGATTTTTTTTCATAAGAGGGGTTTCGAGACTAACAGTAAATCAGTAATAAGAGATGTATTCACCCTACTTCGTTTAAGGTGATGAACAACCGGTAGCAGAATTTTCCCACAATGATATGTGCATAAATTTCATGCTCGATCGTCATCATTCGAGTCCCGCCGGGCGTGTTGATAAGACCTAGGTGAGGTCGAAACTGTAGTCAACCCTGGATGAGAACAACTTTTGGGATAGCAGGGCTATATGAAATGCAATGGAAACGCCAGATCTACTCATATCATTGTGGGAAAATACAACTATCAGTACTTCATCACCTTAAATGGAATAAGTTGAATACATATCATATGAAAGATTCGAAAATTAATAACTTTGAAAGCTGGCCTATCATTAATCTAATAGTCAGTCACTCACAGAAAGCATTTTTCTTAAAATGGCGATGCAAAATTCACAATGATGTCTTAATTTCTTTTTAGTATTTGATGTTGGAACCATAGGTATTTACATAAAGACTTTCAGTTATCTGCTTCTACTCTTAAACATAAATGCTATGGAGGATGCCAAAATGGTAAATCAAGATTGAAAACACCAGACGGAGTAAACTCTTTCCCAAAGATTTCCTTTCCTTCAACCTATTTAGGCTATGGCTATACTAAGGGCAGAGATGAAGTGAATCTAAAGTTTAAAAAACTTTGTAATGTTGAAACTCTTCTGTGCAATCTAGACCCTAAACTTGAACCAGGTTAACTAGTCACTATAATATGTCTATGAGTAGGTACTTTCTTTCGTAGTATCAAATCACACTTTCCGCATTGCTTTTGCCTTATTCCTCTACCCGAATTACTTCAGCAAGTGCCAAAGCCTGGGAGGCTTAAGTAGCAGGGCTCTGCAAGGCTGCGGAATTTTTACACAACGCCTCATCACCCAGGCTGAAAACATGTTACTTGTCTGTGGCAGCAGTAACCAGGCTTTGGTGGCCTCAAGCCTCGCCTCGACTGCCTCAGACAAGGTGACAGGGCGAATGTCGAAATTAGAAGAGGAAAGAGCTCCAACAGGCATTGTCAATGCGTCTGGTGACCGGGAATGGAGCGGGGATGTTATGGAGATTTGGTGCGCCAATCAGGTTAGTTTTTCACACCTGAACTGATCAAGCTAAGCGGAGATCAAAGTTTTCTCAAGACGTAGGTAATGGGGAGTCTTTCAACAGCACACGCTGAGATTATTAGAGGCATTTTGTTGGAAGACGACTAAATTTTATAATCTTATAATAGCTGTACTCCTCCTATTTCGATTAAGGTGATGAAGAAATGGTAGTTGGATCTTCCCTCACTCATATGATTATGTTTCAAGTTTCCATTTTCCGATTCCCAAGAGGTATTCTCATCCAGGCTGAACTGCAGCTTTGACCTCACCCAAGTCCCACAGTGTAGCCGTTAGTTCAAGTAAAGTAAAGCTAGGCTTTTCTCACACTCTCTTTTATAGTGGAATTGTCGACGAATTCAACTTGCATTTATTATCACAATCGGCCACATTACTTATCTTCAACTCAATCACCTTAAAGGAAATTGAGAAAATACAGCTCTTGTTCAAGATCTCCTGGTAGCTTCAAAGGCAACCCAAAAAGACTATCTCGTTATTTGGTAAGATTCTAAGGAAGCTGGGAATCGGCCTATCTCCTAGAAGCTCATTGTCATGTTAGTCAGCTGAGGCTGGATTTCACCAAAGAATGAGTTTAAGCTTTATATGAATGCTTGTGGAGCACAGTAATTCGGCCTTCATTTACAAGTTTTGAACATTCGATCTTTATGAGAAAGATAAGCGAATTCGGACTCAACGAATTGGTTCGAGTAAAACATGCCGAAATCAAAGTGCTCTGGTTCTTTGATGGAATCGACGCGCTGACCTTTTACAACCTTTAAATTTTAACTGATAAAAATTTCTTTTCACTGAACCCTTTTTTCTATGCAGAGCGGAATCTTATCTTTCCATTTTAAAAATGTAGGCTTTGACTGAGCTACTGATTTGAAACTAGTATTAGGCACATCCTAATTTCATCGAGTGGATGGGGCTACTCGTAGGTTCATTTATTTTTTAGCCTTTTTCTTAACTTAAATTTTTGACAGTATTCCTTCTCGTTAGGTCGAATTATTCTAAACTCTCATCAGCGTTAGTAGATTAGACTTTGTGGGTAGCCTATTTCAACTTGCAGGAAGCATTGGCATTGTAAAGAGTCTCAGACCAACCTTGGTAGAATAGTGAAGCATTTGTCGCAAGCGTCCAGAAGCCTAACTATGCCCTTTCACTTTTGGAGTGATGTTGAGAATATAGGCAATCAAAAGACTCCGTTGTCAGCTTAGCCAGTCAGTGATTGATGATTAGGTTGCCTGCAGATACAGGAATTCAAAGTATCATGTTATCCACCCAAAAAATGAAGCAATCCACTTTATTCCTCGTGTCAAGTTCAGCTAAGACTGCAACGAGCTGAGTGACCAACAAGTTGTTCCGACGATCATTGGCTTCGCTTTGGATGTCCCAAGATTCGTGGCCATTTCGAAGCCAAAAATAAAGCCTCCATATCAGCGTGATGACTTAAACATTTCTTGCTGCCAAACTACTGCTGACGACGGCGGATTCCTGTTGTATAGTAGCCGTTTGGCGTTAATGCCACGGTTAGGCTGACGCAGTCCACAAGTCATCTTCTTTCGTTTTAGGCGAAGAAGCGCTGAACTTTCGTTTGTCATATCATGGACATCATCAGAGCTGTAACTTTTTCTTACAAAATTCCCGAGTTGATACTAAGTCAAGATGACTGACCGGCTCAATCCCACATCCTGTATATACTCCTACCGAAAAAATATAGATATAAATAAACAGATTTAGTTAATTCTTGGGAAGACTTTCATTTCCTACGAAAGTTTGTGAAGAACTGATTCAAAGGTTGGCTTGGCGCGAAAACTAAGGCTGATTCCGTCTTTAATGCAACCTTTTGGCTTTGCTACGTCGTTCAGGTTTCCAGGACTAAATCTATCAGCCGTTCCAACTCGCATACTTCTAGTAATCATTGACTTCAAGATTCCATCACTAGTTTTGTTACTATAGTAGTCTCAAAAATCTACTCAGTTACAAAAATAGCCCAATATATATTGGCTTCCTACAAGCATCTTTACATAACTTTCCCTCCTCTCTAATAACCAGAATATAAAAAAATGTTTAAAACCTATTCTCTTCTATTTCCATTGTGAACTAAATGTCAGTTTCACATTAAAGCACAGACATACTCAGACACACACCCCAGTCAAAGTACCATGACCAATATGAAAGCTAATTAGCTAAACCATTATATATCTATATCTATCAATACATTTTCGTTTTTTACTTATGCGTGTATATTGGAGCTAAGATAGAGCCGGACAGTCTTCTTGACCTAGCTTTAGCATTATACTTTTATAAGAATGGGTCCCATCTCCGAAGATGTCTATCATATGATGGACGAAAGCTCAGCCCCTTTTCACCTGAAACTAGGGCAAATGTATCATCGATTTCATCGACCTACTTTTTATTCGTATCCATCACATTATCCAACTTCGTCGTTCCATCCTCAATTAAAGCCTTTTATCTCAAGATGTCCATTTCTTCTATCTTCATTAAATGACTTCTCTTCAAGGATCTCCGAATTACACGATTCCTTTCGATTTCCAGATCGGAGCTTTCATTTTTTCAACAGTCAACTAATTCATGATGAACTTGCTACATTTTCGTTTTGTCTAATTGCCTCTTTCTTCAGGTATTTACACCAATTGCTCAAATGCCGAAACAAGTGAAGACACTAACCGTGATCCAAGCCCCTTCAGGCGGACCGAATGGGCTTAAGTCGCCCAAAAGCCCCCTGTCGCCATGGCCAGATCAGGCTGTTCAGACTACTCCCGTTTTAATGATCACTCTCAATGGCAGCCCAGGTAGCGTACACTTGATGGATCTGGAAACTAGAATCCCGCTTACGTCTGCTGTCATTAATGATGCCGTGAAGCAGGCGATTTGGTCATGGAAACATGAACTAATTATTATTCTTCAAATGGTGAGTTCAGAAGCCGATCTGCCATTCGGCGCCTGCGGAGACCAATTGTCTCGATCTACAGGTCATTACAATGGATTATTCACAATAAGCGGTTTTACATGCTGGGGTCGAGAAGTTAGCCAGTTCAGCTCTACTGTTGTCCAAATTTGGTGATTTGGGATCCCATCTAAATGTCGCAAGATCGACTTTCGGGCTTATTTTAGTTGCCAAGCGTTCCAATAGAGTGCTGGCCAAAAATAATCCCTAATGGGCTCTTTTAGCTAAGTCTAACCATAGCTTTAGTTGCATTGTTATCGCCCACTACCTACAGTTGAGAAAAGTGTCTATTCAGCCTCCGCTAATTGTGGGGGGTGGTGAAGCTTAAGGTAATTAATTATCTCTAGGCTCCATGGCTCGCTGGGGTTCATTTGGATACTGGGGGCGTGGATCTTATCATCACTCCCAACTGGGTTCGAAACCTAGTCGTGTTCGTCAATTTGCAAAACTTTACCGCTCCGTCACACAAGTACTGAAGCCAGTGATTCACAGCACAGATGTGAATTTCAAAGCAGACTAGGCCTTTCCCAACTGACGCTGTTACATAGGTCGTCTGACCCCATTTTTGCGACTTGATCGGGTTGTCAGGGCGAGTTAGTTGACATATGACCATAACTAACCAAATCACTTTATACTTGATCAAAGAGGCCAGTATATATACCACTTTTTAGGGATTTACCGGTGAGTTTTCTTGACTCGTTAGCTTGAATTTTGTCGTGACGACGTAACTTCACTCTGATAATGTCCGTCATATGACGGACGAAAGCTTAGCACCTTTTCACCGGAATCACAGAAGATTGCCTCGGAAACAGCGTCTGCATGAATCTTCCAGTAAAGCCAATCGACAGCTGGTCAAGAAAAATCCGCCATCGTCTTCTGGTGGAACCAACCTTCGAATCTCTTCACCCAACACTTTCACTCGAAATGGAAGTAAGCTCAACAATTAAGAAACAAGACACTCCTTGAAACCTAACTTTTCTTCGCATGGATGGGGTCTTACCACTTATTTACTACAAAAGGAGTCTGTGAGCAAAACGAAGGTAACAATCTATTGGTCTTTGTAAGTACAATAAAACGTTTATAGTTGACCTCTTGCTAAAATGGTCAACTTGTGTAAACCATTTCAATCGGTGATGATGTTTGAAATTCACAAGCATCATAGAGCTATCTATTAGTCGATTGTAAAAACTCCAAGTATGAGCCTTCACAAAATAATAAAAAATAAGCTGAGGAGAGTATATTTATTTATCTGGCAAATGCAAGATAGCTAGCAGAAGTTTTCTGAATTGCTCCCACTATATATTCCACCTTTATAACCATTTTTATTTGCTCAGTTGGGTTAAGATAGCCAAAAATGTATTTCACCTTTTGTTCATCAAACTTTCAACCCCATCATTTGTTTTGCCGAATACATATTGACAATATTATCAGAGCTCTTGGTTTCCAATACCCATTCACTTTGTGAAGGAGGGCCCATGCTCGAATTTGATAACATTCTTATTCTCTATAGAGCTGAGTTCTGCATCACAACCTTTAGATATCTCATAGTTTCTATAGGGCTTATTGTATGATAAGAGCTATTGCAATCTGAATAATGCATTGCTGAAGTGGAACTGAGGAGGTGACTTTTGCTGAATTTAAACCTGCATTGTTTTCTTAATTAAAGAAATATATGTTTATATATTTAGCACCTTGT